CCAATGTGAGTCCCCGCTGCTCCACTTCCCATCCGGCTCCCCGCCAATGTGCGTGGGAAAGCAACCAAAGATAATCCAAGTCCTTGGACCTCTGCATCCACGTGCTGGACCCGAAAGAAGCTCCTGGCTTCTGCCTTTGGACCAGATCAGCTCTGGCCGTTGTAACCCTTTTGGAAAGTGAACCAGGGATGAAAGACCTTTCTGCCTTTACATTTCTTTGTGTAAATCTAGCTTTCCAAAAACTAAACATATGTCTTATTTTTAAAAATTATGTGGTGAGATGGGAGAAAAACAATCAAAAACAGTTTAACTTAAAGAAAAAAAACATGAAGAGGTAAGGGGGTTGTTGCGTGATAGCACGGTCAGCCACGAGAAGGCAGTGAGGGGAGGAGGGGCGGGGGCAGGTGTCATAACTCACGAATCCTGAAGGTCGAGCAGGAGCGGGCAAATGGAGGCAGTTGGAAGGGGGCAGTATGCTCAAAGGCAGAAATATAAAAGGGACATCACGAACTGCAGGGAGCACAGGGCGGCTGCAGGCCGGTGCTAGTAGGGAGTGACAGCAGGTGATGCCGTGGGGACCACTGGTCCCTCAGCCCCAATCACACAGGGGGGACCATGAGCTTGATTTTCTCTTACGTACTGAAAATGATCGGGAGCCACTGGGAATTGCTAAGGAAAGCTAGAAGACACATTTGTTATTTTATAAGTGCATTTTGTTTCTATTAACTTTCCGATGGCAAAGGAAATGAGGACTCTAGAACAACTAGCGAGGGGAACCAATGAGGGTTAGATTTTGCCCATAATGAATTTCATGCCTTGTGTTTTCCAGCCAGGAAAAAAACATTCCTTGAGATCATCTAACTCCCATATTGTAAAGACCAAAGAAATGAAACCTTATTTTCCCAAGGCTGCAAAACAGCATGGCCGTTTTCTTTAATGAAATCAGACATCCTACCCAACGCCCCCCTGTGAGGTCCCTCTACCACCTGCCGGCAGTTCTGCCAGTGTCAGCTTCTGCAGACACATCTCCAGCAAGAGTCTTTTCCATGCCGAGAGCTGATCAGAGTGTGCCACGAGCATGAGAAAATTCCGCCTGGTTTTATATATATTTTCTCAGAGTGATTACAAAGTTAAGCCCCTTTGAATCAGAGATTACTCTTGAGCTTCTAATACTATCTAAATTACAACTCCCAGTTCTTGAATGATGCCACAGACTAAAATTCAAATGCTGCTTTTTTTTTTTTTTGTCCTCAATTCTGCGCGACCCTGAGTAGTTACTTAACATGACAGAAGGCAGTATAGATTGGCCCTGTAACAAAAATCCCAAAGGTTTTTCTGTACTGTAAGGCTAAGGATCCCCTCAATCCTTTAGAATATAAACAGGTTGTTTTTTCATGTTTTCTATCCAGGAAATCAGTAAGCCCATACAGGTGCATCAAATCTATGCGGAACTACAGTCGTATGAGCCACCCTGCAAATGACCGTGGCAGCTTCTGGAAAACAACCTTTCCTAAATTTGCTAACCTGGAGCCGGCAGGGCATCGGTTCATTATTCCTGAAACAAATTCTGCAAGATAGGAGATTTTATAGACTCCGAAGTCGTGGTCGAGATTTTTTGAGCCCAGTATCTAGTGGCAATTTAAGGTGGTTCTCTTAACCATGCAGACTGGGGGTGGGGAGAAGGCACTTGGCTTCTAGAACCACAGCAAAAAAACAAAAACAGTGGTGTTTGAGCGAGTCCCTGCGAAAGTGAATGAAAGTGAAGAATCATGAGTCCGATTCCTTAGTGCTCAGGGCTCTTAAAGACCTCAGCTTCCTTTTGACCCTCACAAGGACCTGCCTTATCTATTTGCACTTTGCACACTGGTGTAAAGGGGCTCAGAGAAGTAAAGTTGCTTTATGTGCATCAGAGTTGGAAGCCGTAGTTGCAACGTGAACCCCCTTATTGCCTGCACCAAAGCCTGTGCATTTCAGGCCATCAGCTGTCAGCGGGGGAAGGGGGAGGGGGTCAGGAGGGGGCAGAGAAGAGGGTGGCAATTGAACAAAATATTGTTGGTGTTTGGTTAAGGAAGATCTAAACAGAACCCGGAGTGAAAGATTCAGTTACTGATGTTGAGCTACCTACCAATTTGTTTCTGTGGCAACACCTCCACCAGAGAAGTTAATGCAATGAGTTTACTCTCCCCGTTGAATGCATTAGGGCAGGTGAGGCCGAGCGAGCACAATTTGCCCGGATTCCAAGAACAATCTGTGACTTTCCTGAGGAAAGCCCTACGCTGGCTGAAGTCTGGCATCCAGGTTCTATCCTATTTAAGTATCTCAGCATATTTAGCCTTCTTCAGGCTCATCATTATAGTTAAAAATGAGATTGTAAAATAAGATTGCTTTTATCATTATAAATAAGTCTCGAAGATTCATTCAGTGAAGCTAGCAATTCATAGCATGTTCTTTATCCGATATGCCAGAAACCCAAAGCACAATCTCATTTGAGATGTACTAGACCCGACACTTACTCAATATAATTTCTGCACAAAGCCCATGTCTTATTCCTTTGTAAATGAAATAAAAGGCGAAGGCTTTCATGTCAAGGTCCCTTGCCTGCACGCTGCAAGTGGTGCTGTTGAACTTGCCGTGTAAGAACAAAAATGAAATTTCAAATAGCGACCTCCAGAAAGTTACGAAGCAGAAAGAAAAAGATGCTTCATGCGTGTTCACTGTAGATATGTTCATTATAAGCTCACTCCTAGGCGAGGCAAGCATGGAGCTCGGAAGGACACCATCTGCCGTGTGATGTTCCCAGTAACAAATTTAACCCTTCATTTCTGTGTAACCTGCTGTTCTGCCATTCTCCTTCCTCAGGTGGAAGAAACGGAGGGGGAGCTTGCACAGTAAGTAGCTTTAGGGGACGCTGGGGATATCCCAGCATCACAACCTGTATATTCTATCAAAAAGAAATAAAGTCCTGGTGTCTTATGACAAACATCACACACACGGAGCTTGGCATCAACTGAGAGCTCACAGCAACCCTACAGCAAACCACAACCTTTTCTGAAATGTTGTGTTTCTCGACCAGAGGCCCTTTTGAAAGAAAAAGCAGACATTCAGAAGGCTTTCAGATCTGTAAAATAAAAAGCAATTCCCCAAATGATGAAAGGTTTCTTTAAAAAAAAAAAGACAAACAATACACAGCCCAAATCTGCTTCAATATTCAAAGGTAACATACAATATGCAAAATAGCAGACATTTCTTTAAAAAAAAAGAAAAATAGGTGAAGTTCTGTTACTCATGGATCTGAGATCCTTTTGTTTTGTTTTAAATCACCATGCAATACAGCTCGTGCAGGCTTGATTTGACTTCACAAAATAATTTTATTATATGTACGAAGCATACAGGCAGTAAAATTAAGAAAACATTCACAATACATAAATAACACAGACCTGATGCAGGAGATTTATTTGTTTGTTTCAGTAGAGTTCTGTTCTTTCGACCAGCCTCGACTAAATGGGAAATCAGCTGTTTATCAGGAAGAATACCTTGTAAACATTTCAAAGGAACTCCACCGAAATGCCTCCACGTGAGTTCGTGTCGGGCACAGGAAGCTACGCACGCTTTGGACACACGGGAACTTGACTCCAAAGCACAGAGAAAGAACAGCGTTTGTCAAGATGCAGATGGCTCTGGGGTGCGTCACACACCCCGAGAAAAGTGATGCCCTGCGGAAAAGTGATTACCCAAGGCGGACCATGAGGCACTATTTGTTCATTAATACACTGTTAACATTTAATTTTTTTTTCCAAAAAATTCAATTGTAAATTCAGATTAAAGCACTAGAAATCACAGCCCTACAGGGTGGCTTGGCTTGGCCTGCTGAGATGAGACCCAGGGCGACAGTTTTATTCTCATCAGTGGGGCTACCACACCAGAGTTAGGCAAACCCACTGTCTTCACCACCCAGCAAAGCAGTGTGTCTGGTTCAGGAAAGCTACCTGACCCAGGAAATGAAAGAAGACAGGGAAGGCCAATTATTTTACATAAATACAGAGCAGCCCAGGTTCTTCGTGACCACCTGCTGTCATCAAGGTGGATTCTTCGTAAGCTGGCTTTTATTTCTCATATTTACAGAACTGAACATCCCCCTGGGGCAAGTCCTCATTTCTGAAATGTGATCATGACCGTGCTTTTCCCAAATGGTTGAAAACCATTCCAGAGCATTGGCAGCACGTGTCAGCTCTCACCTGGTATTTATCTGTAATTGAAGACTCACCAATGTCCTACCAGCCCTGGCTGGGTTTCTAGAAATTACACACAAACATTGAGTGTGTGTCTGTTCATTTCCTTGGGGTATAAAGTGCTAGTTCAATGGACAGAAATGAGTGGCATGGTCTCCAAGAATTCATTAGTTGCCCCAATTAAATATGATAAATATAGATTTATTGTAATAAATTAAAATATCCGTATGATACAATAAATAAATAAAACCAATATCAATAAAGCATCTCTCAGTTCTGGGGAGGGGCAAAAATGTCCCATTCCTGCCGTAAGGCTCAATGATTTACATAAATAATTTATGAAGGCATGCACCTACCTTTACAGTCTGAACATTGACTTGCAACAATACTCTTAGCACCTGTTCATATACTGCAAACTCAAACCCTGTTCATTTCCTTCCCGGAAAGCTTTACTTTTTCAATGACGCTTTTCATGGTTGTTTCTTTTCCCTATATATTTATATATATATATGTATGTATGTATATATATAAAGTCCTAAGATAGAATAAGTCTCTGGAAACAATTTTTGAGCCAAAGACCTGTCCCTGTGGCTTCCCATCATCCCATTGATGATGAACAACACAGGAAATTCACTGGAATGACTTTGGAAACATAATCAGTCGTCATCTGCAGCAGAGGGTTGAAAGCCCAGCACCCCCAGCACACCTGTTCCCGCACGGCAAGCCACAGAGAACTCTCTTCCACCCAGGGACACATGCCAAGTAGCAGGATCCATCCGGAGAACTCAGGCTGGATGCTGTCCATTTTGCGTGACAGGCTGGATCTTCTCCAGGGAGACGTCCGTATCATAGTCCAGTATGACCGATAGGGCCGGGGACAGCTTCTCCAGAGGTTTGCCTATTCTCCCCGCCTCCTCCTTTTTCAGGTCCTCGGAGGAGCCCACGGCATGGGGGATCAGATACACCATATTGCATTCCTTGGAGATGGAGCCTCGGGGCTCGTGATGGCTGGAAAATACCACGGCCCCGTTGTTGTTGATGCTGACCGTCTCTATGGCATTGCTGGCTGTGGGGCAGAGTCTGTAACATCCCAAGAGGATGGAGAATGCCTTCCGGAAGTCAGCATTAAAGGCATAGATGATGGGGTTTAAGGAGGAATTGGCCCATCCAAACCACATAAACACGTCAAAGGTGATGGAATCGATGCAGAAGGACTGGGTCTCCCCAGACCCACAGAAGGGCACCATGCAGTTCAAGACGAAGAAGGGTAGCCAGCAGCACACAAACACCCCCATAATCACCGAGAGAGTCTTCAGGACCTTTGTCTCTCTTTTGAAGGACATCTTAAAGGAGCTCTCGGGTTGAGAACAATCAGCAGGGTTGCCATTGCCCGCCGTGGTGGTCTGGCAGTTCTTCGCATGGACAGCCGCCCTCTCCAAGGCCGAGATGCGCCGGATTTGTTTCTGGGCAATCCTGTAGATCCTGGTGTAGGTGACAATCATGATGGCCACGGGGATATAGAAACTTATCAGGGAGGACGAAATGGCATACGTCCTACTCAAACTGGAGTCGCAGTTGTTCGTGGGCTCCTCCAGGGAGGTGACGTTCCTGTCATGGGGGCCTGTGGGCTTTGCCTTGTGCCAGCTGAGCTGCACTGGGATGAAGGAAATGAGCACAGACAGGGTCCAGGCCACGCCAATCAGAATGAAGGCTGCCTTGGGGGTCATCTTTCTCTCATAGCGGAAAGGGCTAGAGATGGCCCAGTACCTATCCACGCTGATCACACACAGGTTGAGGATGGACGCCGTGGAACACATGATATCAAATGCCACCCAGATGTTACAGAAGGACCCGAAGGGCCAAAAGCCAGCGATCTCGGTCACGGCTTTCCAGGGCATGACCAGGACAGCCACCAAGAGATCCGACACTGCCAAGGAGATGACAAAGAAGTTGGTCACCTTGGACCTCAGGTGTCGGAACCGGATGACTGCCGCACAGACCAGCGTGTTCCCCAGGAGAGTGGACAGGATGAGCAGGGACAGGAAACAGGCTGTGAGGACTCGGAAGGAGAAAGCCCTCTCGACCACCAGCCCAGCTCTATCCATGGCAGAAGTGTTTAGGGTCCTCATCTTCCTGCAGGAAAGTGCATTGGGGGGCTCAGGAGGCTCCAGTTGTCAGCCGGAGATCAGGGGTCAGTCCCAGCGGCTCCCCTGAGTGGGTGGCCTCACCCTCATTCCATCAGAGAACAACAAAGAGGTGTCCAGAGCCACTTCCCAGGGTTCAGTCCTTGGGAAGGTCCCCTGTGCTTTCTAGGCTGGCTTCTGATTCCCTGGCAGGTCACTGGCAGGTCAAGGGCAACCACTAGCCCCTGGAATCCCCCAGGAAAGCGTTGGCTTTGTTAGCATATCCTCAGCGTCCATCCCAGTCCCCTGCCTCTCCGGTCAAGTGCTGTTGCACGTCAGGGCTGTTGCTTCTCCTTCGGCGACAAGCAGTTCTCCGCTTCTGAGACGCAGGTGAAAATACATATTCCGCTTTGCTCCAGCCCTCAGCTCCCGGAAATGTTCTCCGGATACCCTAAAAAAAAAAAAAGGCAAAGACAGATCACAGATGATTGTTCGGCAAAACCTAAGCAGATTGCGTGTTTATTCAAGTCCTTTCAATCCCGTGCTGGCCATGCCCCACCAGGCCGCCTAACTCACCTTGAGGTTGTCTCTTTCAAAGCTCCCCGGGGCTTAGAAAGCGGACTTAGCCAAGCGCGGCGGCTCCACCGCGAACAGAAGGCGCACAAGAGACTAACTGGATGCGCGCAGCCCTAGTGCGACTGCGGAAGGCCCCCAAATCACAGGGGAGGAGAATCCTGAGCCAGCACCCCCTAAGAAGCCGCGCCACTTGTCTGCCTCAACTGACCAGTTGCGAAGCACACCGGACCAGCAAAGGGGATCCAGGGCGCTTGGAATTGCCTCTGGAGAGGGTACCTCCAGTCCCCAAGCACTTGGGTAGCTGCTTTAATTTTTTTTTTTGCTGGCTTTCCCCAGAGACACGCCACAAGCCGGGACGCCCCACCGGAGGACCCTGTGCCTTCAGGCAGCGCTGACGCGGAGGCTGTGGGCACTCGAGGCAGACAGAGCCGAGCTGACATCGGCGGGCTCACCGGCCGGCCGGGATCCCGTGGGGCACAGCCCACCGTGCCCGTGCGTCCCCTCCCCTGCCCTGGGGGCGGGCTGCGTCTGACAGAGTTGTGGGCGACTTTTGCACGTGGTTCCCTCGCATGCGGATTCGGGCAGACGAGGTGGGGGGCGCCCGGGGAATCTCGCCGAGTCCCTTACCAAGCCCCAGGACCTCCACGGACGGCATTTGGAAGGGTCCACTAGTCCAATCCTAACGGCAGAATCTCAAGTCAGCACTGAGTCAACGGTACAGCAAGATCGACCCCACAGCAAGCACTCATGGGTTCAACCCCAAGCACGACCCTTCCCCACTCAATCGCACACGAACCTTGAGAACCTCGCGGTCCACGCCACCTCCTTGTGCCTTTCAACGACGGTGAGACGTGCGTCGCCAGACACTCACCTCTTTCCCGGACGGAGTTCCCTGATCGCTCCTGGCCCGGGCGGTGGAACCCCGAGGGCGCTGGCCTGCAGCCACGCGCCGGCAGCGGGCGCGTCCCGCGCGGCGGTCACCGCCGGTCTGCAGCGCGTTGCCCCGCTCGCGGGGTGCGCCCCAAGTCCAGCACCAAGCACTCCACGGGCCCGGGACGCCCTCTGCCGGCCGCTACGGCTTCCCGAGCCCCTGCCATAGCAGACCCCAGTCTCCCCGGTGCAGCTCTCTCCACCAGGGTCCAGCGTCCCCAAGCAGTGGCGCCCCTCTCCGTGGCGGCCAGGACCCGGGACAGTGGATGCAGAAGCTTCTTCACTCAGGACTCCCCTTCTTTGAAATGCCCCTGTAATCTGACAATGGTGGGAAGTGACGGTGGCAGGCACGGCGTTAATAGAGACGGTGTTTCTCCTCCGGTGCTCTCACTACGCGCGCAGCGCTAGGACCACACGGTAAGCCACTCCACGCGCTCCCTCTGTAAGGCGACAGAGCCCTGGCGTAACCCGAGCACACACTGTGTCCCAGACGCGTGCCGCGCGGGCCATCCTCCCCGCCAAGTCTCCAGTGTTCAAAGCTTTGAAGAGGCAGGGGTGGGAGGAAGCTGATCCACTTGCGCAATTCCACAGTACCGTGACTCCCACCGCGTTCAGCTTGCCGCGGCTGGTGCAGAAGCCCACAGACAAGGCGAGAGTTAAGTTGTAGGGAGACCCATAGCCACGGAGTGCCCCTGCCTCGCCCCCACAACTGCCGGGTGAGCGCTTGGCTGACCAGGCTGTGCAATAGCCAGGCACAAATGATGCCCTCGCTGTGCCTAGCTTCCTGTACCTATTCAAGTCGCCGCTGGCTGCGCTGTGTGCCCTCTCTCTCCTCCGAGCTTGAGATAACGGGATCATGGCGTATATTCATGAGATGCACCCTACAGAGAGGGCTTGGCACCGAATTCAGGAATCTCCTAGGCATATTTAAGAACGAAAGTGGCCTTTTTCAATGAGAATTCTGCGTGATATGGCGGGACGGGGTGGGAGGCGGGGAAAGGGGGGTCTGGAATTGTCTCCACAAAAAGGTTCGAGCCTAAGTAAGGGTTCCATCTAATGAGCCGACACAGACTGTCCCGTGGCTGTACTTGAAGGATCCCAATGGGGACGCAGACTTTGCTCTACCCACCCGTCGGCCCTCCCACCAACGACCTTGCTTTCACACACAGTGTCCGACACTAATGGTCAGACGTGAGGTTTGTCTCACACACAGGTCCCCGGGACCCCCGCCCCCACCAGCTCGCTGTGCAGCCTTGAGCTGAGCTTAGCAGGGGACACTCCCCACACTTCCAAACTTTGTCTGCCCTTTTTCTTTTCCCCCTGCCTCGGATGAAGGAACAGAAAGTCAAGGCTGCTTGTCTAGTTCAAGGTGCATGCTACCTCCGCATCCTGAAAAGTTTCAGCTCCAGTCATTCAGGAGCAAGCAAGAGAAGAAGCAACGGATCATTGAGCTTGCGAAGTAGGAAAAGCCAGAGTTCTTTTCTGTAGGGAAAAAGGCAGCTGGGATGGGACTGCGAAAAGGTATTCAGGACGGCACTGCAGAAATAAACTCCAAGGGATGCCAAGAACTACCCCACCTCAAGATCCCGGAGTCAGGCAAGGATAAAGCTCATTTGAAGGGCAAAGTTCCCGACGCCCCCCAGAAGTCTACCCTTCTCGCCCTCTTCCCCCCCACCCCTCTCAGTTCTCAAGTCCTCCAGAGCCGAAAACCCCGGGGATGCTGATTGCTCTTTAAATTACAGTAAATGACGTCCTGATCACAACAGGTGGCATCACCTCAAGGGAGTGTCAACTCAAGCATCAACAATGAATCGATAAACACTTCAATAGGATGGAATATCTTTTGACAGAGAATCCCTGTTTTTTTCCTCTAGCTAAGCTGCTGCTCCCCCCACCCCGTCCCTCCCGAGTTGCTTGAAAATCACTTTGCATTCTTTCTAAGTATCTTGTGTCTGTCTCTCTCAACTCCTTTATCCATGTGATTCAATCCATGTCTATCACTTTCCTGATGGCCGAGAGATATTGCACAACTAAATGCCTGCCGTTGTCCACATCAGAACAACTCATCTCCTTACCTTCTGCTTTCAGAGTCTAGAAACTCAGCCAGTGACAAGCAATTCCTTCTACACAGCTAGAAAGGGAAGAAGGAACTGCTCGCCAGTGAAGCGTTGGGCAATTTTTCTATGATTCTGTAAGTTTGTTATCTCAGAGGCCAAAAGACAAAGAGAAGCAGAGAGCTCCCAGGACTGGGGAGGTGAGTAACCAAGGGCTCAAGTTTAGAGCTGGGGAGGCAATGCAGGTGCCCCACCTGGGTGGCAGGAATCCTCTTATCTTTCGCCGTGGCCACTGCTTCCCAAGGTTTGCATCGGTAGGAAGCTGGATGTAAGAGCTGGGAGGGTAACAGGTGCTCTCCTGTGAAATACAGGCGTCCTCAACGGCATGGACCACTTGGTTGAATGCCTGCCCTTGGTTGTAGAATTCTAATTTGATACACAGCCCAGTTCTCTTTCTGACAGACTTGGGTCAGTGACTTTTGAACGTGGTTGCTGAAGGATTAGCAAGGACTAAACTTGTAGCTTTAATCCCAGCCTTTCTCTTGGCAGAGAGAGTGATTTTGGAAGAACTCACAGTTTGGCTAGAGGTTGGACAATTTTTTTTTTCCTCAGAAAACTAAAGTGCAACAACCTTTCATTTGTTCTATAAAAAATCTCTCCCCAAAACGTTAAGGACATGAACATAAATGCAAGAAGGTATTATTAGTGTTAGATCGTGCTGGGAATGTAAACCCAAACACAAAAGCAGCTTTGTCTCCCAAATTGGCAGATCTTTTAAGCGCAACTGTGATTTATGCATTACCGGGGCAGGAGGGGGTTGAGTTAAAACAACAATGCCTTCCACAATTTTTTATTGCTAGTTTGTAAAAGTCAATGAATACAGAAGCCGTGCCATCAAAGGAGGAGCTTAATCTCATAGAAGAACAAATAAAACAACCGAGCTGTCAAGAAATCAAACGCCATGTTTAGGAGCATTCAGGATTCCGAAAGCTAATGTTATACCTAAAATGATTATTTATGATGCTAGCAAAGAGAAACAAAACCTGGCTGACCTTGACTAAGTAGCTAGAATGGTTGGTTTAGAACACAAGGATGACAGCTCAAAAATCCTTCATCCTGTGTTCTGTTTTCTACCCCCACCCCTATGACTCGAAGAAAAAAAAAATACTTAAGCTTGTAAAAATCTTTTTTTTTCTTTTTTTTTATTGTTATTAACATTGTATTATGTGATACAGTTTTATAGGCACTGGGGATTCTCCCCACCCCTCCCATATCCCTCCCCCCATGGTGGATTCCTCCACCTTGCTGCATAACCACCGTTCAAGTTCAGTTGAGATTCCTTCCTTGCAAGCATATACCTAGCATAAAGTCCAGCATCTTATTGTCCAGATAAGTTCAGTGGCCTCTTGGGGAGACCTTCTCTGGTCTGAAGATAGGGCTAACAGAGTAAAGTTCCGGTCAGTTAAAAGCCCCAACAAAACCTCAGTATCAATATACAACATTATGGAATTAATTGACATAGTATTGGGTAAACAATATGTTAAAAATAATGCAGGTTATAATCTTACGTCTTTTG